TTGTGGAATTTATAACACCCTATATCGCATTCAATCTGCAAAAAGACCTGCTCCTCACGCTATCAGAATCCGACATTCAGAATTGTGTCCATACACAGACAAACAGATTGTTATGCTCTATAGATAAACCGATTTATGAGTTACAAATAAAGCAAGCAATTTGTAACTTGAGCATACACGATAAAATAATGTGTCATACAAAGGAGGCGCCGTGTCGCGAGCGATGGATTAAGTTACAATGCGATAACGGGTGGCTATTCTCTTGCTGTGGGAAATGCACAGTGCGCATATTTTGCATTGACACTGGAATGATAATGAAGTCACTGACCGGGAATGGCTTACTACAAATCGGTCAAGGTTGTACCATCAAGAGTGACACCTTTTCTATTTTTGGTCACAACAACTACTTGAGCTAAGTTCAAGTTCAAGAGGACATACCGATCGCATCAGACACTTCCATATTGAATTCCATCCTAAATACTACTTCAGGCTTCGAGCAATTTACATCCGAAGACCGTAGAGACGAGTGGCGTCGCATAAAGGCTCAGATTACAAACCTCAAAGAACAAGAAAGCGCACCACTCAGCGTACATGACATACATCAATATTCAGTTATGTACACAATACTGGGATTGATCATACTAGCGGCATCCATTTACATCATTATACGATGTCGCAGAACCAAAAGAGCACTGAACATGACGGCAAACACTCCCGTAATCTCCATTTCTATGGCGGCAGTCACGAGCGGAGACCAGGAACCTGCGCCAAGGACGAGACCGCGATCCTTGCGACTGGACATTCCATCACAAGTGTAGTGCAGTGAATTCGTTATATTATTTTTGTTTATATTATTTTACGATTTTATTTTTGTACTTTGAATTGTTATCATACTATTATTTTTTTTACATTCTTAGTACCTTTGGGTATATAGTTTTCCCTCTTTTGGGCCGGCAGAATGTACGGGTTACCGCACATACGAGGGTGGATTGAAAAGTACTCGGCCTAACACAGATCCATTCAATTCTAAAAATCAAATCTACCCATATTATTTAGTTTAGTTCAGACTAGTTCATTGTGTGAAGTTCGAAACGTGTGCGATAATTAGTTGTGATTTTATAAATTTATTAACAAAGTAATCGGACATAATTTCCGCGAATGGAGCAAATCGAGCAGCGTGCCGTCATTAAGTACCTCCATAAGAAGGGGCTATCATCAAAAGCCATCCCTGACGACATGGTTAGTACATTAGGCGATTGTGCTCTGTCATATTCATCCGTCAAAAAATGGATAGCAGAATTTAAGCTTGGTAGAGAGAGTGTGAAAGATGAACCCCGCTCTGGAAGGCCTTCGACGTCAACTACTGACGAAAATATTAAAAAAGTACTTGATTTAATAATGGGAGACCGCAGATTAAAAATTAGAGAGATAGCCGAGATTATAGGCATCTCTTCTGAATGAACTCAAAACATCATTGTCAACGAGTTGGGTTTCCACAAGGTGTCTGCGAGGTGGGTTCCGCGACTGCTTTCAGTTGAACAAAAAAAGGACGCGATTGACTATTTCACGCGACTGTTTGGAGTTATTTGAAGCCGATGCAGATGATTTTTTGAATCGTTTTGTTACTATGGACGAAACATGGGTTCATTACTGTACACCGGAAATAAAACAACAATCAAAACAGTGGAGAAGACCTGGTTCACCACCCCCTAAAAAGGCTAAGTCGATTTTGTCGGCAAATAAGGTGATGGCTTCAGTATTCTGGGACTCGAAAGGTGTGATTATGATTGATTATCTTGAAAGGGGTCAGACTATAAACTCTGATTACTACTGCACCTTACTACGTCGTTTACGAGAGGAAATAAAAGAAAAACGTCGAGAAATGCTCAGAAGAAAAGTCCTGTTTCATCAAGATAACGCCCGTGTTCACACGTCAGTACAGTCAATGGCTGAAATTCACAACTGTGGCTTTGAACTGTTACCGCATCCGCCGTATTCACCAGATCTGGCACCATCAGACTTCTTTCTGTTCCATAACCTAAAAAAGCACTTGGGAGGTCAAAGATTTTCGATTAACGACGAGGTCAAAGCAGCTGTAGACGCATATTTTGACTCTAAGGATGAATCATTTTTTTTCAACGGTCTAAATGCTTGGAAGGGGATCTGGCAAAAGTGTATTTAACTTGATGGTGATTATGTAGAAAAATAAAAATATAACTGATTTAGTATGTGTTTATTTTCTTGGTTAGGCCGAGTACTTTTCAATCCACCCTCGTATTTTATGTAATTTTAATTCAATGACTCGTTTATTTAGGTCACGCAGAAACAATGCATTTGTCACTTGCGAAATCATGTAACTTCCGTACTTTTGCCTATACATCAATTTATAATTCTTTAAAATAAATTCAGTGTTAGATCGACTTTCATTGGGTTTGTTTCGTACACTAACTTTCCCTTGCATCCCATCTGCACTCATTCATCTTATATACTGTATACACCTTACAGTGATCTTGTATGTTTCCTGAGCGGTGAGAGTATTTTCGATAAGTATTGAGCCAATCTGTAAGTTGGTGAATCGATTTTGCTCACTATAGGATGTAGTGGAACATTGGGCTGAAAGACAGATCAGCAGCTGTTAAGCAGGCTTCCTTTGTTATTTCCTCGTCTAAAAGGTTTTTCTTCTTAGCCAACAAATAAGAAACTTTTAAAGATGCAATAGTAACACTTTTCAAAAGTTGAAATGGCCTGGTGAAAACACTTTGTTGTTTTGTTAGATTTGTCTTCAATTCACAGACACGTTTCTTCCGGATTGCAGCATTTGATGGAAAACTACTGCTACATGTCGCATGCAGAGTATTGAAGTGTCTTTCAACGTTACTTTTTTTAGGCAGCTTGAACTTGTGATTATTGCAAGTCTATTCTAAGGAATAAAAAATTTAACTTTTAATGGAAATGAAAAACTGAATTCAAAAACTAAAAAGAAGGAAATAAAACCGGGAAGAATTATTTGACACATTAGATCTTAGTACCGATTTCACGAGTTATTATTGTGTAAATTATTATATTATTTTAAACTTTTAAGTAGATTTTAAATTTTTATCAAAAATTAAATTTTTCCCTTTACTATTATACCAGAGAATCGCGTGATTTTTAAATCACTAATATACAATTTATTATTTAGAGCTTATCTTAATATTCTAATAGTAAAACAATGTATCTAATAGATTCGTCAGGTATTGGAGTTCAGTTTAGTATTTATTTTTAATTTTAAACATAACGTGTTGAAATGAAGTTTCTCCATTTCGGTTTCCACTTATTGTGTTAGCAAAGTATTTTTTTCTAATATATTTTGTACTAAATTTAATTTTAAGTGGTAGTTACTAGGCATTGGATTCATTGCAGTTAGTTATTTGGAATGCGAAACAACCTATCTGCTATTAAATTCTACTTTAGATGGAGTTTTTGGCTACCGAGCAAACTGTGCAACTTCGAAATTTCGCTCTTAGTGTTCCGTGCCAAAACGGAACACTTATGGAATCATCTCGATGTCCGTCTGTCACAGATTTTTTCTCAGATATGTCTATGTCAAATAAACACATGAAGTTGAAATTTCGAATTCAAATAAAAGCTCTTCAAACACATTTCCCAGAAAAACGACGTTTCCGAAAACATATATAAATTTCTGAATATCGTTAAAATTCTGATAAATCACGTATATCATAGTTTAATGAGGTATAGATTGATTTTTTTTCTATAATTAAGTTATTTACTCATTTGTTGTTTTTTTCATTAATTGTGGATTTGACGTGTCCTTGGTTTTTTTAAGTTCTCGATCACGTCGTAATTAAAAGTTTAAGTTTCATTTCATAATTTAAATGGTGCTGACGAGAATCAATTTGGGTTTGCTTGCGTACACATAAATTTAAAGCCGAGTACTTACGTCTTTAGCTACAGTCCTCTCATTGAAATTGCTCAAATAAAATTCATTAAAGTTTAACTTTCACTTAACGATTTTATAGGATGGAAACTTAAAAGAAGTCTTTCCACAATTGTGTACCACATTGGAACATACTTTAGAAAAGTGAAGAAATTATTTTAAGTTCAATATTTAATTAAGCATAAAATAGTGCCACAACCTATTCTAACCTTTTATATCATAGTGCACTTAATTGTCCATATTTATACATGGCATAACGTGGTAGCAAATGTTCATGAATTAATTACGCTGAAAGACAACTAACATATCCAACTTAAAACATTTTTCATAATAACATTAATATGTGAGCAGTGGCCAAGTTTTTTTTATAGAATAGGGTGACAAACGAGCACACAGTCCACCTGATGGTAAGTGGTTGCTGTGGCCCATAGACATCTACATCTATCCTCGATTACGAATAAAAATGCAGATGCGTTGTCACCCGTAAGGACTTAGGTGGAATGCCTCGTTTCCAGTAAAAAGCGTCTCCAGTTCTCCACACTCACCATACGAAACACAGCAGCATTAAGCTACTATTTGACGCTGGTATTCTGTGAGAGCGTGGTGTCTACCCGGTCGAGCCGACCCAGTCGTGCTACAACTATACTACTGATATAACTGCAATATGGCTCTACTACGTAAAAGTTGTGTTGGCTTTTATATTATATTATATTGCGAATTATTCTGCGTAGCGATACGATTACACCGAAACATCCCAATAATGGTCTCCATTTTAGGTATCTTCGGCTTGCAATTTTTGATATGATTATATGCTGTTTTCATAGGGGTTTGAATTATCAGTAAATTATTATCTTACAGCTAATAGTTAGTTTAATTTTTTAAAGTTCTAGGTATTTCCCCTTATAAGCATACCATTAGCGGACAATGTATAAATCAAACAAAGGAAATATGTCAGCTTGCGTTCGTATATAATTTGTTAAACCTGCATTCCCATATTGTTTTTGTGTATCGTCTTTCATTGTTTATAAATCAAAGTAACAATTTGCATTTTTTTTTGTTGTAGCGACCGTAACGAGCTGATGCGCGAACGCGAAAGGGATCGAGAGCGAGGATATCTAAGTGATCACAATACAAGGTTTGATTACCTTTGCATCTCTTAATTAAAACGATGTTTTGTAACAATGACACAAAATGAAACAAAGATCTAATTAATATGCTAACATAACTGTAAAACATATCCAGCTTTCAGGTGTGAATTTTATTTTGAAATATGATATGGAGTTGTCACAGACATGAAACTGTGCTATTTTTTATGTCGCAAATGAGTAAGAAATTTAATATAACAGTAAACATATATAATACCCAATGTCTTACGTAAATTTACTCTTTATAACATTCGTCTCTTTAAAATTTAATAGTTTCTTGAATGAAAATTGTTTAGAATAAATAGTTACTTTGTAATTTAGACTATACTCGAAAGTTATTTTTTATATAATTCAGTCATGAAAGTTTTGAAGTTACGATGCTGTGACATCAAACAGAACTTTACTATAAGGGCTCCTCACATGAGAGCGGAAACCTGAAAAGCTGTGATTCTTTAATAAGTTTTTATTTAATAATTAGGCTATTTTAACATAAAACAATAAGTATCATGAATATTACATGTTTTACTTGATAAACAGAAGTTAAAGCTAAAGTTTTTATAAATCTAAGTTAGTTACAAAAACTACTGATTAATTAAAATTTTGTAAAAAATTAAATACTAATTATAACGTATAATACTTTATTATACAATATAAATAAAGTATAAAAATTTTGAAGTAAAAATAAAATGTCGATTTTTAAAAAAAATTACAAAAATTTGGAAAACATGCCCCTAAAAGCGGCTTCATTGCCACGTTATATGGTCAGTACCATACAACGTAGAGCCTGAAACGATGAATAGTGGATATTGTAGCCCTTATCAAAAACCTTAATTAAAAATAACCAAATGAAACAAATATTGTAAAAATAAATAAATAAATGATTAAAAAAATGTACAGGGATCGGAACCGAGATCGTGATCTAGGATATTTGAGCGATCACCAATCAAGGTGAGTTTTCATAAAAGCATTTAACTTAAAACTTTCTATTTGATTTTTATATACTGAACAACAATATTTTGTGTAATTGGTGGCAAATGACGACAGAGACCCTTTTGAAGATAGAATTAATTCTATCAATTCTCTTAGACTTTAAAGATGAAAATATAGATTCATTTTTAATTCTTATTCAAGGATGAATGCTGATAATTTTGAACATATGCTTAAGCTCTAAAAACAACGTCAACGTCAAAAAAGTGAAAAAATGAAGTTTTCTTATAAGTGGTTAATAAGTCAGCAGTATGTGAACTCTGATGTAATAATTAGGACATCTGATGTAATGGTCAGGACGATTGTGAACATTCAGGATTGTCCTAATCATTAAATCAGATTTGATAGTCCACAAATCTTCGCAATAGAACATCGATTCATAAAAGCAATTACTAATTCAGCTAGTGAATGTAAAGCAAATTTTGTTTCCAAAAGTTTATCGAAGTCTACTTATCTGATCAGTTATAACAAAAAGTACCAAATATATATAGAAAAATTTTATGCATAACAGATAGTTTCCCTAGAGAATCAATGTAACTGTTGTTTCATCAGTTTTTATTTATATATTATAAGCCGGTGTTTAACCACAACTCCACCTGGTGGTAAATGGTGATGAAGCGTAAGAAAATCCTAGTTACTCTGGCCTTGAAAATACCCAGATTGTATTCGGATGGAAAGACATACGCTAGTAAATTAAACATAAACTTAAACACTCATGCCTGTCACCCAGAGGAGTAGGCAGAGACTACGGACTTCCATTTGGCACGATCCTGACTTTCTTCCTCCTTTACATCCATATAATATCTACGTATAACCGCACGTCAGTTAAGGGTACTTCTAATCTCGCCCATTTTTAATATATCGCCAATTTGATCAATAAATCTTCGTCTAGGACGTCCTTTCCCGGCTCTGTCGTTCACATCTGCAATATAAATTTGCTTTGTCATACTTTTCTTGTTCATTATTTCTACATGACCAAACCACCGAAGCATTCATTTTTTATGTTTAGTTCTAATGCTTGTTCCAATCTCTTGTTCCAAAACCTTTAATTTTTCATAGTTTTTGTTTAATAATTATGATATTATTACATTGAAAAATAAATGTCCTTAATTTAATGTAATGTGAAACAAATAATGTTAAAAAATATTTTTTTTTTGTACAGGGATCGGAACCGAGATCGCGACCAAGGATATTTGAGCGATCATCAATCAAGGTAAGTTCTAATAAAAGCATTTAACACATCTACTTTCTGGTTGATATTTGTATGCTGCATTACAATATTGTTTGGTTGATAAATGACGACTACCAGATACTCTTTCTAAGATAGAATACCGGCGTAAAATAGCAGCTAAATGCTGCTGGGTTTCGTATGGTGAGTGTAAAGAACCGGATACACTTTTAACTGGATACGAGGCTTTCCATCTAAGTTCTCAGATGTAAGAATGCATCTATACTTTGATTATTAATCGAGGATAGATGTAGATGAGCTTTAGCATCTATTTACCATAAGGTGGACTATGTGTCTGTGTATGTTATACTCTTTTTGTATAAAAAAAGAATAAATATTAGATCCGTTCTCTCAATTTTCAAGCGTACAATATATTTGCATTTTGATTCTTAAGGGGAAATATAATGTCAAATGGCTTAGCAAGATCCTTCGTTATGCCGAAAATATTGCAGCATTAATTTTGAAATAAATATATGGTAAAGTTGAGGATTAATGTTAGTGATTATGTTAGACGAAAACACGATTTCGTAAAATTTTCTCGATAGAAAAAAATCCAAAGTTACCTCCAAAATAAACAATAAACCGCTGTTATTCATAAAATACTTTAAATAAGATTATGAAACTTTGCATACTAACTGAACTAACTATAAAGCAGTGCTTATGTTATTTACTTTTTTTAAAATACCATTATTTTCACTGTAAAAAGAAATTACCTAAATTATCGGCGTCTTGAGCTTGATTGCAGTCGCCCCGTTAGTATCGCTTAGGCTTTTGAAGGGAGAAGTTGTGTCGCTTACGATCAGAATATACATTACGCAACAGTTCGACGTAAAATTAAAATGGGAAATAACCGTGATAAAAATAAGAAGCGGCTGGCTTGGCGTTAAGAAACAGGCATAAATATGATAAACCTAATGAAATAAGTGTCTAACGACCTTTCTACTTACAGTATTAGTGATTAAAAACATATCGGTAGATAGCATACGACGCGCGGGGAAGTGGGGGGCGAAATTAGAATTTGAGCTGACTTACTCTAACCTCTTAATCGAGGCTAAACAGTGATGCTTTTGAGCCACAGCATCGCAAGTTTTAAATACAACGTGATGAAAGAAAGTAATAAAAAGAAGTTTATTTATTGTTTGTTAATAAGTCAGCAGCATTCAAACATGTTCAGGACGTCTACAAATCGTCGCAAATGAACATCAATTCTTATCAAATATGATTTACGAGGGTATTGACATTAAAAAACATCTTATTTTCTATAGAGAAGATGGCTGGGTGCTACCATATACCTGTGATCCCATAATTAATCATGTTAAGTCCAAACCCTTGCATGACTTCAAGACTCTAACTGAACTGTAACTGTACTGTAAGCTGAGGTGATCAGATAAAAAATAAATATTTAAAAATTGAAGGTAGGTATCTCTTTGCGTATTTTGTCGCATATACCATAGGGAATGTTCTGAGGAATTGTTTGGACTAATTTCAGCGCGCAATTTCACCATCGCACATCGCGACAAAACTTGCGATACCATCCATATGACCGCATGTACCGCCAGTCATCCAGATATGACTGGCGGTCCACCACCATGTAATTTAAAAGAAATTTTCTTCCTCGCACAACTTTCTTGTGGAATCGACTACCACCAGAAATTTTTCGGGACCGATACAAATTAGGGACCTTCAAGAAAGAAGCCTACTCCTTTTTAAAAGGCCGGCAACGTATCTGCAATTCATCTGGTGTTGTAGTTGTTCGTGGGTGGTAATCACTTACCGTCAGGTGAGCCGCATGCTCGTTGTCCCCTCTCCTAAAAAAAAGTTTTCGTAAAATATGACATCAGGACGCCAAACATCTCAGTGTATTCATCGCCATGACCATGAGTAATGTAAAACTTATCAAACTCAGTTGCAATATTGTACAAACAGTGCGTGATGACTTACGAATCTGAGACTTGTTCCTTCACTGCTCGCCGTATAATGACGTTCAAGATCGCTCAGCGAGCTATGGAAAGGTCTGTGCTCGGGAAAATATGAAACATATCAATACCTGAGTATGTCACAGAACATCGGTATCGATGAGGCTGGTATGAAACAGTCAGTTTGCGACATGTTTTATGCACGCTTGATCAAAGTGCTTAACAACCTTTTGTCCAGTGTGAATAAGACACATGGATATAACAGTTGGGCTATACCAGTCCTCATGTATACCATTTGCATGCTCAGGTGGCCTCAGACTGAAATTAACGCCCTAGATAGAAAAGTCCGTGCAGCCTCCGTAATTACTTCCTGGCGAGATAGGATGATCCATTCTATAGGGACATCATTTCTTGTAATAAAGGACCTACTTCTTTATCCATAGCCAACTAGCAATGGCAAGACCCGGTAGTACGGAGCATTTCTGACCGGGAGACCATATGGAAGGAGAAGGAACTCCACGGGAGGTTCTACAAGGCTCTACATGAGCCTATCTCAGACATAGTAACCTTCCTCCACTGGCTACGTTTTGGTGACCTCTTCAGGGAAACCGAGAATTTTGTCTGTGCAATACAGGATGAGGTTATTAAGACCAACAACTACATCATCGAGCATACATCATCGACATCTGTCCAGCTTGTGTCATCCCGGTGAGTCACTTAGGCCTATCATCTCCGGTTGTTCGTCGCTTGCTAACTCTGATTACTTACACAGGCACAACCTAGTAGCCAGAATTCTTCACCAGGAGCTCGCTCTGAAATACGGTCGCGTGGACCGGAAATTGCCATATTACAAGTACATGCCGGAAGCCGTGCTCGAAAATGATCACGCCGGGCTCTACTGGGACAAGGTCATCATCATAAACAGGACTATTTTTGCGAATAAGACTGATATTGTGATGATGGACCGGACAAAGTCCAGGATAATCCGTATGATGAGAACCTCGTGTAAGCCGAAACAGATAAGTTATCTAAATATTTGAACCTGGCTCTCGAGGTGACCGACATATGGGAATTATCCCGGTCTAATCCCAGTCAGCCTCTCTGGTCATCTGAGGCAGCTGGGACTCCGTGATGGACCGCTCTGGTCTTAAATGCAGAAGGCGGTGCTCCTCGATACCGCCCGCATCGTCCGTCGCTTTCTTTCCCTTTCCCCCTAACCCTCGGCCGTTTGGTCTCCTCTGCCGAGGGCTTCTATCTGGTTGGGCTTTTATTTTTTTATGTATTTTTTTATATATTTATTTTATTTTATTGATATTTATGTATATTTATCATTTTCATTTATAAATATATATTTATGGAACCCAACCAGATGAGAAAACTATATAGATAACCCAAATAATAATAATTATCTTTATTCAGGCAATTTACACCCTTAACCAGTAAAATCAATGAATTAAAATCAAGCAATCTACACAGTTTTAGAAATAAATGTCATCAAAATAGCAATTTTAAAATAATAAATCTAACAGTCATTTTAAGTAAGCATTAATATCAGTACATAAAATAAATAAATCGAAATAAAATTAGAATTAATAAAACAAAATAAAATAAAACCACAATTAATAAATTACAGATTTAAACAATTTTATCGGTCAGCAGACAATCAATTACAAATTCCTCTAAGGCAACTACTACGTACTTCGATATCTGTCGCAGCAATGCCGGATGATATAACAGTCTAACCTTTCCGTGATCATGGCCAGGAGAGTGTTCGAGCTGGCCCGCACTCCGCGCACCAGGGACGCTGCCCGCTTGCACATGATTGCATGAAAACAATCGGTGCGCGCATCAGCGAACATACCCGAGGCGCTACAAAATGGAGACAGCCCCATCACAACCCTAAATGCATTATTGTATTGAACGCGGAGAACTCTGTAACTCTTCCTAATGTGTTTAACCCATAAGGTGCACGTGTAGAGCGATGTACAGAATGCTGGAACGAGCGTAACCTTAACCCCCTTTGAGCACTGAGCAAACCTACGAGCGATCATGTTAGCTCTGATAGACAGTGCCTTCCGCTCCCGATTCATATCAGCATGATCTTTTGAGTCGACGGTGAGTAAGTACCCCAGATATTTAAACTATTCAACCCTTTCCAGGGCTACACCATTTAATTTAATTTGAGCATATTAGCAGGATATTTCGCACCCGCGGCCTCATAGATCGTGTATTAACTCTTTCATATCCGTATTTATTCCTCGCATATCCATATCAGCTTCCCAAGGCCGCAGATCGACGCACTCAGTAGCACCATATCGTCCGCATAACTAACATTATTGACACAAACACCGTCAACGTGGCAGCCGACATGCTGACTTCTAGGCGCTACGATCAGCCCGTTGATATAAAGATTAAATAGGGTTGGTGATATTAAGCAGCCCTGAATGACTCCACACTCAAGCTGATACAGATCAGTTTCATAGTAGGTTAAATGCCACCAGGTCAAATGCCTTGGATAAGTCGAGGAAGCATGCGTACACGGGCGTCTTGCGATCAGTGTAGTATTTGACGGTTTGCTTGGGACACAATATGGAATCCGAAGTGGTTATCATGAAGTGTTACATGTTTATTCAACTATGTGTTTAGCAAACCGGCAAACACCTTTGCAATTATGGTGGCAAGAGTAATTGGTCTACAGTTACTTTTGTCAGTCACCAGTTTTATTATTCACTATAGGTGCCACACACACCACAGTTGTCATGAAATCCGCGGGCAGGTAGAAATGGCTCACACACAGTGAGTATAACATAGCCAAGACCATAGCTATGTGAGGTCCGGAATGTTGCAATGTGCTTAACACTAAGTGCATCTTGTCCAGGGGACTTGTTTCCTGACATATTTCCTATAGCTTTAGTTACTTTTTGCCACTAGTCTCCACTGATTGTGTGTTCTAGTCAGTGCTGAACACTTTCTCTACCGGATCCAACATAGACTTTATAGCAAAATGGTTCTTGAAAAGATTTGCCATCTCCTTGGGATTGTCCGTACCATCAACGCTCACAGGAAGGC